GTCACATCCCACTGCTCTCTTACACGGCCGAATATACCACCGCGTATTACTCGGCATCACCCGGGGGCCCCCAACATACCCTTAAACTTCACACCAAAAAGCCTTACCACACCACCAAGTTCATTCTGTGGGCTGCCGACTCGACCACCATGTCGGGTCAGTCAAGCGCCTCATCGCCCCTTATATCGACCCGGCGCCGCGCCTGTACTGCGTGTCAGCAAGCAAAGCGCCGCTGCGACCAACGGCTCCCCCGGTGCGGCCGGTGCACCCAAAAGGGGTTCGAGGACTGCAACTACCCATCCCTCGAGGCTGCCGTCGCAGCGGCGGACTTCAACTTCTTCACAGACGTCCTCAGCGGCTCCGCGGGCACGCCGACTGACTCCCTCCACAACATCATGCCCGTCCCCGTCGTCCCCGAGGCGGACAACTCGTGGGCCCTGTACTACAGCAACGCCTCGGCAGCAGCCGCGCCGACACCGTCACCTTCCATCATGGCTCCTACCAGCGACTGCCTTTCGCGAGACGCCGTCATGTACTGCAGCGAGCAGTTCCGGTCCTATCCGCGGCGGTGGGTGAGCCAGAACGGCGTCGCCCCCTTTATCCACCCGGCGCTCTACCTGCCCACCACGAACGGAGCAGACGGTCTGCCCCCCGTGCTCCAGGACTGCTTCTGCGCGTGCGCGGCGTACGCGGCCAAAAACGACGAGAACGCGGCTCTGGTCCTCGGCGTTGTGGAAGCCAAAGCCACGGCGCTGCTCTATGTCCCCGAGCAGGTGGCGTGGACGCTGCCGCAGCAGGTCGCTTCCTTGCAGGCGCTGGTCATGTACCAGATCATGCGGTGGTTCGACGGGGATATCCGCCAGCGCGTCCTCGCGGATTCGGTTGAGCCGTTATTGGCGACGTGGACTTCAGCACTACAAGCCCGCGTCGGGACTGGTGTCTTTTCGGCGGACGAGGCTATCCCGTCGTCGTCGTCTACCGTCATGTCGGACTCGCATCTCCCGCCGCCGCATCAGCAGTCCTCTTCGTCGGCGGGGTCGTATCCGCAGCAACATGATCTCTCGCCGGATCACTCGCGCTCAAATACACCCGGTGCTCGCCTCACAAAGGAGGAGCTCAATGCCGCCTGGCGGCGGTGGTTGATGGCGGAGTCGATTCGGCGGGTCCTCGCCATGGCGCATCTCGTCAGGGCGGTATACTCTACAGCGAAACAGGGCGGCGGTGGTGCCGGCGGCGGAGGATATGGCAGCAAACTCGGCGGCGCGGGGGCAACAGTAGGAGGACCCGGGCACACGCAGCAACCACAACAACACCATGCCAGCGGCGGTAGTGGAGGAGGAGGAGGAGGAGGAGGAGGAGGCGGCGGCGGCCATCAGCTTCCACATCACCACCATCCTGCCCACCCCATCGGCCTCGCGGACATGAGCTTCACGGCGCAGGCGCGGCTGTGGGCCGCCACGACGGCGGAGCGGTGGAACCGGTCCCGCGAGGGCGATACGGCGTGGTGGGTTGGGCGGATGGACTTTTCGGGCCTGCTTGCGCTCGCGGACCCGAGGGAGGTGGATGAGTTTACCGTCATGATGGGCGTTGTGTTTCGCGGCAAGGATACGATTGAGGATTGGGTTACGCATGGGCCGGGGGGTATGTGAGACTGTATTGTGGTATAGACGGACAGAAGAAGAAGAGGAAGAAGATGACGACGACGAGTAGACAGAGAACGAAGAATGAGAGGAAGAAAAGGGGTGGGCTTTTTTTTTTAAACAGATTTCCATCGCGAGATAAGCATTTTGGGGCAGGCCTGGCGTTTCTTTAAGGGGGGTGGGGGTGGTCAGGGGTTTATAAAAGGGGGAAAAATCATTTTCACACATTAAACTTCACTCAGCATCTGGCAGCATGATTTTCGCGGGCATAGCGACAGGAGCAACGAAGAAAGAGAGTAAGAGGAAGAGAGAGAGGAAGAGGAAGAGAGAGAGGAAGAGGAAGAGAGAGAGGAAGAGGAAGAGAGAGAGGAAGAGGAAGAGAGTGGAGAATGGAGAGTGTAGCAGTATACCTATGGTATCTAGGGGTTGATTTAGTAATCTTCCTCGCCATGTTTTTAATTCCTTCTTCAAGGGGAGGAGGGGAGTAGCATAGCGTTGCTTTATCGATAGATTTAGATTGTACGAGTATGATAAGGAGGTTAAGATTCATCATATGCCGAGGAGAAAGAGAGAAAGGGAAAATAGGAGGTAGGTAGTCTAGCTCAAGAGGATCGATGATGTAGGTCCTGGTCAAAGACGGAATAGTAAAACCAATCAACTCCCTTGACTCTTCACCTGTTCATAAAGGTACTGTCACCATGTTGAAATACAAATCACCTATACACCGAAGCTTTCCAACCCTTTCACAAATCTGCGTTAGTCATTTGAGCGATAAGACAGTTCTTGCCACCAAAAATTTGCACAGAAAAGACAAATCACACAAAGGGTCAAGTAGAAAGACTTGGGAGGTTCATGTCTGATTCATTAGTCATGGTCTATTGTTGCAGGCGTTGTGGCTGCAAATGCCTTTGGATTCTATGTCATCTCTTTTCCTCCTTTCTCTGTCTGTCCTCATATCCGCACTTTGTCGGCGGTGACCTTTTTGTCATTAAGAACCAGAATAGGCAAAAAAACCCCAAGAGGGTGTGTGATGTGTCGTGAAAGAAGGCCGCGCCGTGCCTCCTTTGCCGGCGCAGGTTACGCAGCCAGGCTAGGACCATCTCCTCTCAAAAAAAAAAAAACTGGTGGGCGCAAAAAAGCAGTGCAGGTTTTTCACCCTGGGCCAGAAGTCGGCTTTCTCAGTGGTTCCTCACTGTTAGGATAATCCACTTTCTTGGACGCGCCGGCCTTTGAACGAAACGCTGCGATGCTTGATGATGGGCCCCTTATTCCAGGGGCAAGCTATCCGAAAAGGTGGTAGCAAAAAGAATTCAGTGCTCAAGCCATAGGCGCTTAGCACATCTTGTACTCGCAGCGGCCCTCAGCAGCACGAGTGGGGTCCTCTGTCAAGAACTTGTAGTCAATCTTGATGTCAAGGTCACGGCGATTTCTGTCATTGGGCTTGACGTTCAGGGTACCCTCGACCTCCTCGCCAGTCTGCATGGTGATCATGTCCTTGAGGTAGAAGACAGTCTGCTTCCAGTGGGTGTACTTGGTGTGGGGGCCGGTAGAGAAGCGGATGGGCTTGTGGGCAGCGGTGAAGTCGATGTCGAACCAGGCAACAAGGGCGTGGATGAAGTCATCGCGGCGGGCGGAGAGCTTGAAGGGGGTGGTGAAGGCAAGGTCGGCAACCTGGCACTTGTAGAGGTCCAGGGTCAGGACAGGAGTGGGGTCAGTAACCACCGCCTTCATCTCGACTGTGTCAACCAGGGGCTCGGCAAGAGCAGTAGACTTGAGGGGGCTGTAGTCAAAGCCGTAGACGTTGTCCCAGACTATGTTTGTGGTCAGCCTCTGTTTGCATCACCCAGCAAAGCTTCGCTGAGACAGTGATTGTTGGTGAAATTGTAACTTACATCCGATCTTCTCGTCCTTGTAGTCGCCATCCTCGATACCAGCAACGAAGATGGTGGCCTTGTCGGGGAAGATGAGACCGTCGGGGTTCAGGTAGCGGTCACGGGCGTAGAGGACGGTGTCCAGCATGGACTCGTAGAGAAGGAAGTAGCCCATCCACTCGGAGATGATGATGTCGACCTTGGGGAAGGGGAGCTCAACCTCCTCCATCTTGCCCTGGATGAGGGTGATCTTGTCGGACAATCCGTTGACGGCAACGATCTCGCGGGCCTTGAAGATAATGGTAGACATATCGACACCGATAACGTGCTTTGCGCCAGCCTTAGCGGCGAACCTATACAAAACAATACGTCGTTAGCAATCGAGGCTCCATCTGCGGCGCAGGGTTGGCAGTATGTTTGAGACAGCTGAGTACGTACATAGACAGAATGGCGGTACCGCAGCCGACATCGAGGACGACCTTGTCCTTGAAGAGGTGCTTGTTCTGAACAATGGCGTTCATGTAGGAGCGGGTGCGGACCTCATCCTTCAACATCTCCTCGTGGATGCCGTGGTGGTCGTAGCTGTACGGGAGCGCAAAAAGTTAGCAATGGTTCTGGGGTTTGCATTGGATAACTCTGCAGCTGTCGTCTCCAGCTTTGCGACATACCTCTTGAAGTAGTGCTGCTCAGAGTGCTCCATGCCCTTGAGCTTCTGCTCGGCAGCGTCGACCTCCATGTTGTCGCCACCCATTTTGATTATTGGTGTATGTGAATTCTTCTTTTTTTGCGCGACGACTTTTACCGTCGAAGCTCTCTGGGTTGAATAAGAAGAAGGGAAGAGAAGAAAAACGGATCGGCTTGGGGGATAATGTGTAGGAAGAATCGCCAAACACACAGAAAAGGATGAGGAAGGAAGAGAATTTCGGGGTGGGAAAGAAAACACGGGAGAGGTAGGTAGTCGCGCGGTGAAGAAGAAGGAAAGGGTCGGCGGGGCAGGCTGGGCACTGGACCGGGGGAGGACTTTCAACACGATCGGGCAGAATGGACCTGACAGAGAGACTGGAGGGGGAGGAGCAACCGGCAAAAAAAATAATAATCAATCCTGATTACGCCTCACAATGCCCGTCACCACCTGCACCCTGCATCGGGCTCAGTCTCCACATCCCACTTTCGGCCAGACCACCTGGCACCCAGCCCAAATTTTTTTTTTCTTTCCTTAGTTTTTTCCCCCCCCCCACCTCAGCTCTCAAACTGTTGACACTGGCAGACCCTTACTGCCGGCCCGTTCCTCGCCAGCGCACCACATACATCGTACACAGTTGACGGCGGTGTTTTCTAAGGTGTGCGGGTCCAAGGAAGCTTTTCAGTCCCTGAGCTTTACTGGAGGTGTACGGAGTATCACAGAGTATCCGTACAACGAGGGGCAACATTCTCCTACATCAAGCATGACAGTTTAGACCTTCACTTCACAATGTCAAACGCAATAAGCTACAAGTGTAACTTTGACTGGAGTCTCATGTAGATTCTTCAAGACTAAAATAAAAGGGTCAAAAACACTAGACCAACAATAACCATCCAACGCCGCGCTATGCCAAGTACTGTTGATGGTATGAGAAAGTGTCTCGGTCCTCAACACCACCTCTCGTGGGGCTCTCTCCATTTAACCCCGAGAATATCAAATATCTTCTTCTCATCCTGGCCCTCGACGAGCTCACCTTCGGTCAACTTCGCCCGCCCGAGACCTCTCATGACGTTCTTGTAAAGACCTCTCTGGTTGAGTCGCATTCCCTTCTTCGATGCCAGTAATCGAATGCTGCGGTTGAAAATATCGTTGCCCGTAAAGTAGATCAGGGCCGCACCAATTTCGGCTTCTGGGACCACTAGGAAATCCACACGTCTCCAGACTTTCCGATACTCCCCGTCGTTGAAGCCTTCAATCTTTGGCAATACACAACAGCCGTGCCATTTGCTTCCGTCATCGTCTCTGGATCCTGCGAGCCTTGCAACGAGAAACTTTTGCGCTTCGAGAGCCCCAATCAGGTTGTGCAGAAAGGGGATCAGTTCCGATGTTGCCCGAGTCCCTTTCTTCGTAACGATAAAGTCGATATCTCCACTGCTTTCAGCTCCGCGACGATAGCTGCCCCCGACGATGATTTGAACATCGGGATCCAGCTTCGCCGCCTCTGACCTGACGACCGCACTTAGCCACTTCATCTCGGACCTGGGAATGCGCTTGTTGAGGTCATCGTAATGATCGATACCAATTCGTTGGTTGGTAGTCAGCTTTGCTCTCTGTTTGAGATCATCGAGCGTTCGGAACCCCTGGGCGATGAAATGGCTGGCCTGTACGCTGCCAACACCATAGATCTTCAGGAATGTCTGCAGAACCTCATCCATCGGATCCAACTCTGCATTTTCCAGTCTTTTGAGGCGATTGGTCGTAACAATCTCCTCAATCTTGTCTGCCAACCTTTGGCCAACACCAGGTAGTCGGATCGCCTCCTCAGCTGTCGAAACCTTGGCGGGCTGCCGTTTGAGCTGTGTAATGGCTTTTCTGTATGCGATGGGCCGCCATGTATCATTGATACGCTCGTAGTAGCTGCACATCTGCTGCAAGATCTCAATCGTGCGGGAGTTGGGGTTTTGTTGGTCGCTCCCCAGAGTGCCTCCTTTATGACACGTGAACTTGTCTTCCCAAGTCATTTCCTTTCGTCCTTTAGTCCTGCCGACACCTCTTTTCTTCCTTCGACGTTCATCATCTGAGCCTTCACTACCTGATCCTTGTTCATGTGAATGTGTCGACGTCGCCGGAGCATCCTCATCGTCGTCATCATGCTCCAGTGGCAGATCTCTAAACTGCTGCAACTGAGAAATGACGTGCCCAAGCTCATCTTCGTAAGATCCGGCATTTTGTTGGAATGCAGTCTCACGTGTAGCTGTTGATTGCACAGCCTCTGTGATATCTCTCAACACAGCAGGTTCTGCAGCTTCGACCGCGTTTCCAGTTGCCCTTCCAGACGACTCCTGACTTCTAGACGGAGTCGACGGCGGGGGGATGTAATCCCACTTTTTGGGATTTGTCTGTCGCTTCTTCAGCGGCAACTCCTGCAACTTTGTTGCGGTTGAAGACTGAACAATCTGAGAGGTAGTCTGGGGTTCCGCCGAGGTTGGCGAGGGTGGTTCAGGGCAACCGGGTACCTGATATTGCTTCTGTTTTGCGTTCAGTAGTGTCTTGAACCTGACGCAGTCCATCGGAAAATCCTCGTTCAAAACTATGTACGATGACCCCTCGCTTGCCGAACTAAGTACCTTCTCGATGCTCTTCCAGTCGAGGCGCCGGTCGACAATGACATGTGTCGCATTCTCAAGAGATCGGACCCACTGAGCACCAAATTCTTGCACTTTCCGGATCCGAATCTTCCTGGCTGGCGCGATATCATCGTTTGGAATGAAGAAGAATCGTAATCCATGAAAGACCTGCTGCGCCTCAGGTAGGAGCTTGATGGGCGGCTCTCTCTTTCTTTTCTTCATCGCGGCGATGGAAGGCGAGTTGTCTACACGATGCGGTAAAACGTGTCTCGTGAGAGAGAGCGGTGTGGTAGCGCTTCTGGTAAGACTCGCCAATGGCTGAAGTGGTGGCCGAGCCAAGGTTTCTGGAATAGGCGTGTCTTCGACGAAGCTGAGGTCTCCGGTGAGAGCTTCCTTCCTTCCGGGACCCTTGATCTCGGCGAGAGGAGTCCGCTGGATGACTTCCTTCCGTTTCAGTTCCGTGAGAGGCGCTGATACCGGAGCCGAGGACGTCCGCCTTGGGCTTACGCGCCGTTGTGGCTGTTGTTGTTCTTGCTGGTGAGGAGGAGGGAGAAGGGGCGGTTGCACTTCTGGCTGTGGTCTTTCCCTAAGTGGCTGGCGAAGTTGCGCCGCAGCTTGAAACGCTTTTAGCTGTTGTCTATTGCGTTTCTCGGCCTCTTGAAAATCGTCGTCGTCGTCATCCTCTCCGTCTTCGCCTTGTCTGCCAATAGATTCAAGCTGGCGGAAGAAGCGCGCTTTGTCTCTGAAGGAAGTGTTTGTATCGGCCATTGTGGTAAATGTTGTCAAAGAGGCGCACGGGATACTTTTAGCTTTTTGAGAACCAAAGTCATGTCGGTGGCGGCACGTCGCTGTTGCCTAGGAATCGTGGAACAATGGCAACGGAGATGGATGGAAGGTTGAGTGATGCCTGAGTGAAGTTGAGACCTGGAGCGGCACACACACCAATACGGAATGGGTAGCTTAAAGATGAGTTGTCATCTGACGACGTTGTGTTAATGGAAGGGATGGGATGTCATTCAAGGACCCATGAATACCTGGAGGTAAGGTTGGAAATGGACAAATCTGGGTGCCCTGCATGGGGAAGGGTGCCGCATTAGTGCTGTGGCCACCTGCAAGTCATCCAATTAAGGCCGCCCTCAGCGGTGAGCACTGACAGTTTCTCCATGGACACGACGCAGGAGCCATAGGCCTTCCAAGCGGGTTTGACGCCCGCCAGGTTGCAATCGATCGACCCAAGCACCCCAACAAGGGGATTCTGCAGCAAAAGCGGCTTGGCCACGGTCAGCAGCACGGGGACCTGCAGGATCTGGTGGGAGCTTCAGGTCATCAGCAATCCTTCCTCCCAGTGTTGCTGTGGTGAATTAAGCTTCCTACCTCGAATTCAATAGAGTTAACACACCCCTTCGTCAGACCACGTGGAACTAGTATACTGCAACAAAGAGGTTAGACTGCTCGCCCGATTTGGCATCATTTGATGCATACAAAAGATCACAGTAGCATTCTTAGCACCGAGCCATTGTTTCGGCTGTCTAGGTTGAACACAAAAAATAAAAAAATAAAAAAAAAAAATAAAAAAAATTATGTTTGAAATCCTGGTCTATAGGACGAAAGAGATAACCCAAAATCGTGGCGGGTCTGTCTGGCTTTTTATACGTAATTACAAGTACAGACGGTCGAGGGTAGACCATCTCATTCTTCGCTTCCCATGGTATCACCGTAGCTTTAAATCCAACTAGTATATACAATAACATTTTCCTCGTGTCCTCATTCTCCGAGACATTGACGTTTCGCTCTGCCACCGTATCGTACACAGCTGTCACCCGGCTCTGCGGCTCGCCTGGCTCGGCAATTGCAAGCTAAGGCTTTGCTTAGTTGGACCAGCGACAGTGCCTTGAGCTGATTATGGTGTCGTTATAAACAGCGGGGCCGTGTCGAACTAAGAGCTTGTGCAGGGTAGACTGCCGAGGAAGGGCGATGGGTCGTAAGTGTTGTGTGAAACTCGTACTCATCGCGCTTTATTGAGCGTGTCCGAATTGTGAGGGATATTGCTGTGATGACCCGGCAAAGTTGCGGGCGTCCATCAAGGGAATGCTGTTGTTCTTCTCCATCGGCTGGAAAGAAGCCATATCGTTGGAGTAGCGGCTGGCAGCCTCGTTATCCATGTCGTTGAGCACCTCTCTTGTGAGCTCAACGTAATCGTAGGCGAACTCGCCGATTTCGGCATCGTCGATACCCAGAATCTCTGCCTCTTCGGTGGCACGGAGACGAAGACCGGGAATCATGTTCATGATGAAGAGGATGGTGCAGGTGCCAACAAAGGAGTAAGCGCCACCGCTGAAAGAATCGGCCAACTGGTATCCGAGCTGGATCCAGTTGTGGTTAATCCAGCCTCCGTCAATCTCGGAAACACCGTCAAGGTGAGCAATGTAGTTGGCGGCAAAGAAAGCGGTGCAGATGTTGCCCACGAGACCGCCAATGCCGTGAACGGCAAAGATGTCAAGAGCGTCGTCGATTCTGAGGATGAACTTGAGCTTAGTCGCGTAGTTGGCGAAGGCTGCACCGAGAATACCGAAAGGAACGGCAGCCCAGACAGGGACGTATCCTATATTCAGTTAGCCAAGTGAGTCTCGCATGTCTTTTGGTGCACAATGAACTTACCGGATCCCGGGGTGATGGAGACCAGGCCAGCAACAACACCAGAGCAGAAGCCCACAGTAGACCACTTGCGTTCCAGCCTGTAATCCAACACGCACCAAGTGATGCCACCGACACAGGCAGCCAGGTTCGTGACAACGGCGGCAAGGACAGCGCGAAGGTTGGCAGAGAGAGCCGAGCCAGCGTTGAAACCGAACCAGCCGACCCAAAGGAAGACGGTGCCGATGACAATGTGGGTGACGTTGTGAGGTCGGTAGTTGAGCTCGTGGGTACCGTGACCACGACGCTTGCCCAACATCATCGAGTAGGCGAGGGCGGCTGTGCCAGACGCGATGTGCACGGGTGTACCTCCAGCAAAGTCGAGACCGCCCATCTTGTTGGACCATCCACTAGGGTTCCACGTCCAGCAGGCAATCGGGTCGTAAATGACGGTCGCCCAGATAAACATGAAGATGACGCAAGGGAGCATGCGGCCACGCTCAGCAACAGCTCCAGTCGCAAGGGCAACGGTGATGCAGGAGAACATGCCCTGGTAGATAGCGAAGAGAAGATCAGGAAGGCGGCTCGAGCCAACAGAGGGACGGCCGAGGACGTCCTTGAATCCGAAATTTGACAGGTCTCCAATAAACGCACCAGCGGAGTGCGAGAATGTTAGTGAGTAGCCCCAGAAGAACCATTGGAAACTGGTGACAGCCGTCGCCATGACGGAAAGCCAGATGAGAGAAAGCGCTGACTTTCTCCTCGCCAGTCCAGAATAGAAGAAACTGCATGAAATAGTATCAGTTGTCCGGTTCTTAAAAGGGATCAGTTTCGAAGTATCCATACCCGACGCCAGGAATCATAAGCAACACCAGCGCGGTGGCTGTGATCATCCATCCAATGTCACCAGTCTGTGTCTCTTTGTTAGCAGCCGTACTACCGGAACCAGATGTCTGCGGAGAGCGTGTTTAGACATGACATACCTCATACCAAATGTTCAGATCCTCCGTGAGAGAATCTCCTCCTGTGGGACCAGAACCATTGTAGGGTATGAGATGCACATAGTCGAGGTTGTCGAGATCGAGAGAGGATGCCATCGTGACGGAATTGTCGTCGCTATCTTATCGCCGAATCGGCAATTGGGGGGGGGGGGAAGCCTGGGCCTGGACGTAATCGTAGTCGTAGACGTGTGTCGAGAGCAACACTTCACCAGAAGTTCGCCAGTTGCAGTCGACGGTCGATGATTGACGTATTAAGAAGCCTATCGGCTGGCTCTCGTATGAGCGAAGCCTCCAAAATGAGCGCAAAGGGCCGTCGCGGGGTGATCGGAAAGGACAGCAATGAGTGAGACGACGGAACGAGGCAGCCAAAACGGGCGTGGGATGCGCGAAGCTTATGAATGTGGATGCCACGGCGCCCCGACAGTCTGCGCAGAGTTGCGTTGCGGGCGGCATGGCGACTAGCCCTGCTTGTGGCGGGCAAGCTAAACGGGTACGGCAGGACTCGCCCGACGCGGCCAAAAAAGCCCACGGTCCAGAGACTCAACGAGTGCGAGACTGGGAGAGAGGCCACAGGCTGCGGCCTGGGACTTCTGGGCTATCCCACGCAGACAGGCCCTGTCCGCCCTGGGCCAAGACCGCCGGCAATGGACTAGGGGTGGGGGGAAGAGGGTGGGGGAGGGGTGGCCAGAGTTTTCCTCGGGGGTGAGGTGAGAGTGGTGTGTGTGGGAGGTCGTGAGAAGCCCTGCGAGAATGAAGCAGGGTTCCAACCAGGGCGAGCCGCGAATAAGGCCAATCGGTACAACTTGGGGTGTGCACTAGGGGTGGACTCGTGGAGGCTTTGTCGGTTGCGACGCAGGTCCATGGATAGTAGGTATCCGTATTCTGCAAGTTTGTATCCGTAGGATGGTTCCTTTTCTCTTCTGTTGCTGAGGGCATGTACAGATACGGATGCTTCATGTATGGATATTTTGAATACTTTCTCCTGATTCCCTGTGAAGCAAGGTAAGTAAGGTAGTCGATGAGCAACCTGAAGCAACGGGGTCGTAGCGATCGTGCATGTCCAACGCAGAATTGCAGGCTGGGAAAAGCAACAAGATGGTGAGCAGGAACAAGAGAAATGGGCAATAAGAAACGCCCTGGTAAGCAATTGGGGTCGAGCCAAGGTAGCATCCAGAGACCAGAAGGCTTGGATTTGATAAGACCAGACGACTTCAAGACACAACGGCTTCGATACCATGGGGGACCGGCCACCCGTTTTCGGCCTGGCGTCGTCTACTCCATACGTCCGTCCGTCTTCACTTCCAGACCGGATCATTGCTGACTTGTCAGACTTGTCATCAGACAACGACGAGGCTTTTCCTGCGTTCTGTGTCTGTGATATTGGTTAGTGCTTCAAGGTTCGTCAAATAGTTGGTCTCAAAGTCATCTCTTCCCGTACACTTGGATGAAAGCCGCAATCGAGAAATGCATGTGCTTCCAATTCATTAATCTGACCACGCCCTTCCCCATGCCCCTGTCCGCCTAACCAGGGTCGAAATCGCCATAGTATGGTTATTGGTGGGGGATGAATGGGGGAAGAGAATCCGCAGAACCACAGGCCATTGTTATCAAAGCAAGGGTCTAGTCGTAGCATAGCTTCAGATAACAGCCACGATTATTACTGCGCTATATTAACGCAGCCGCCCATCGCTGCACCGTGTACCGAGTATCCGTAGTTCTTCTCACCTTTCAGAAGGTCTTCTGTCGTCTGCGCAGATTGTTTGGGCTAATGCCGGCTCGACCGTTGTACGGTACGGATGGATACCACTTGGCATCCTAATCATCCTGTAGTCGTACCGACACAGCCATAACAAGACCCCTCGCTCGCTGTACCAGTGTTTCCTCCGAACACACGAGACGTTCTGGTCTGAACTTTGCAGATTGCTGTTTCTCTTGGAGCCTTTGAATGACCGAACATGCCGTAAAAGAGCCCCTGGCCTATACAGCACTGACGGCCAGCTACTGGACGCCTCATCAAACGCGGTCGGGGCAGGTTCCGACGCTGTGCTTGCAGTTGCCGGTAGCTCATTGTTTCGCACATCACGGGCTCGGCGGATGATCATTCAGAGAGACCATCAGCATCCATGGCCCGTCATGATGAATCGGCCAACCGGCAGGTCCCCAAGGGCAGGAGGCGGCGTAGCAAACCCAGAAGGGCAACGTGCGTGAACGTGCGTGACACCGCTGATGCTCATACTAAGCAAGAGGATCGAAAGGGTAGAGCAACGCGTTGTAGCGGCCGCAAGGCATGTAAGACGCGGCCAGGAACAGCCGTCTACGGCCCGCGAGCAGCGGATGAACACTCCGTTTGCGGGCGACTACGAGGATGACTTGCGGCGTACTGTCGCACAGAGCGAGAAATGGGCATAAAGGTCTTGGTGCAGCGGCCGCTATGGCCACACAAAATAAAAAAGCCGTGGTAAAAGGGATAAATTCGGATGTTTTTTTTTCTTGGTTGGTCTCTCTTTCTTTTCGGAAGAAAACTTAAGGGACGGGATGCTGGCGACCGGGTCTCAGTTGAAAGTCTTGGCCAAACGCCCGCGAGAGCTTAACGTTTTCTCGCAAGAAGAGGGAATAGGCTTTAGGCGGTGCTTGGTGAGTGTAGGTGTCCATGGACCATCCGTGGCCGTAGCGTGTCGTGTGTTGCCCGTTGCCCGTTGTTTGAGACGAAGAAGGGCATGGTAGCCGTCATCTCATGTCTCACTGAAACGGACGGGATTTGAGCTGATGATTTCCTGCGGCAAGGCGGGAACCCAAAGTCTGTCCCTCATACGACGCTGGAGTCGTGAATAGACGGAGACTGAGAGATTGACTTTTGACCGAGTTAGATCTGTTGGCCATTTCATCATGTCATGATTATGAATACCTTACACTACGTCTGCACAGTAGTGTTAGAAAGATAGACCGTGGAGAAATGACAAGTCTTGGCCTTGTTTTCCCACCTCGGTGATGTTAGGTGATATTCGGACAAGTTTGGGCTGCAAAGTGAAAGTGTAAATTGCAGCCAACGTACCTGCCGTGTGGCGTGCTTGCAGTGTGTGAGTGAAGTGCCTGCCAGAATTTCTCAAGTTCTCAACATCGACATCAACGCGAGCAAGAGGTGCAGCGTGCTCCTTCCCATCTACCTCTGATGGTGATATCAAACACCTAACGCCAGATTGGGAAAGCGAACAGGGATGACAGGCAGTCCCGCCGCTACCATCCTGATGGGAGACCGACAGGCCAGGAGCTGCCCGAGGGAGGCAGCAGATGGCAAGGGCCCGACAGATCAAAGGCAAGTGGACCGGCCGAAGAGGCCGAGTAACCACATTTTGTCATGATAAGCTATCCGCCTATGATTGGTCGATAGAGCCCCGGTCAGAGAAAACGGCAGCCTCCCCCGGCCAGGGCCAACTTGCCAAGCATTGCTACTGTGCAGTGCTGTGCTACGAATGGAAGTAGCGATGCCAGGTGGGGGCGAGGTCTGCATTTCGAACCTTCTTTGCTTTTTCTGAAACCCAGCCGTCAATCTCAATCCCATCATCCAGTCCATCCATCCCTCACGCAACTTCAACACCTCATCTCCTATCACCGACGCCAGCCTATGGGATGCCTATGCGGCCTTCAGCATGTCCCTGTCACCAATTCCATAGCCCCTCGAACCTCCAGCCGTCCGTCCAATTCCAATGAATGGCACAGCATTGTCCTTGCCAATTTGCCTCTGTTTGTCGTCGAAGCTATCATGGAACCAACAACAAACAGACTTCATATCAATCCCATCATCCTCGCTTGGCAGCCAGGTCAAATGTAAAGTTGTACACGCAGAACGGCTACGGGTACGGATACTCTGCCTGATACTACACTGGGTGTAGCTTTTCTTGATACAGAAATGCTCCGAAGCCCACACCCCGTGTCGGAAACTTGGTAAGAAGTACTCCGTACTTACATACTTCCATCTCTCCATATCGCCAGTGCTTCATCTCGGCCTGCAGGGGCTGTCAGGTCGCCTTACAACCTGTCCCACCTAGAATGGCGTACCATCGGCTGCACCAAGCCTCCCGGCCGTTCGTTTGTAAACTTCCGTCGACCGAAACTACGTGGACTACTGTCTGTTCGCACACCTTCTTCGCCTTCCAGAACCGGTACCTCGATCGGCGCTGCATTCTTTATACGGCAAGCACTTTGCAAGACGACCAACTAGTCTTGTCTTTTATCTGGTAGGTTCACTGTTAGCTGGATTGCTAAGGCATAGAAATGGAGTTCGAGAAGCATCAGCTCAGAGACCGTGCTCAAATTGAGCTGCCTTATCCCCCACGGCGGCCCACCGTCCACGTCTGTCTTCTCACCAAGAGACGGCGCTCACACAGCCTACCGCCAGGGTTTGGCCCGCGGTTCCAGCCCAGATCAAATTGTTCAATTCTTCTCGTCATACAATCAATGACCAGGATATCTATCTCCCCGGATTAAAGGGGTTCCAATACCACCCCCAAGAACCACCTCCGGCCAACTCGTCACGTCATTCGACCAAAGCTCCTGATCTGCACCAGGAAATCATGATGAGCTCCGCCTACCAAGTGCTTGGCCTAGACCCTCACACCTTCTCTGCCTCCTGCAGGCGTGTGTATCCGTACCTTGACGAGACTAGTGCTTGATTATCTTGTCAGCAATGATATTACCAACGGGGCTTTGCGCCCCCATGTGCAGATACACATGTCTTTGCTCGGAGACGATCGTTGCGCGTGGGCGTGGGTGTGGGCTTGATAGCTGTCAAGATGTCAACAACACACAGACTTTTGATGAAAGCTCGGATTTCTTCGCCGAGGACAACCCAGAGCACACAGACAGTTCTCAATCTCAGGAGCAAACATACCGCTTTACCGTCCATGGCCAAACCATGGCAATGTCTCGGGAAGTTGGGGAGGTTCAACGGCATCGACGGTGATTGGATTACGAGTTGCTGACTGGCCAGGAGGTGAAATGAAATCACACGCGTTGCAGATGCGGAAGCTAAGCTCTGTAACACTCGAGTCTTGCTCCAAGAGGAAGCTCCTTTTCGCCATACCCTGCGCTCGCAACTTGCTAGCCAGTAGCCACAGCGGTAGTCGCTGTTCGCTCCACAACTTACGCTGCTATCCTCGGTCTTCACGGCCTCACTCCATGCATGTTCTGATCTCAAGGGGAACAGCACCATCCTGTCCCGGAGGGTACCAGCCCGTCATCTCCACGATGAGCCGCCCTTGGCACCGGTCCCGCCTCCCCAGGCGTAGCGTATTTCATGAAATCATGGGTGGAATACGCAGCTCGGTTTCTAGTTTATCGAAAGCTAACGGAACACGGATATTGGACAGTTCTCAAGGTTACGTCTCCCCCGGTCCTGGCGTCAATCATATTCGCAACCGACATCGGATCTGGAACTCTTCACCACGGTGAAGCATGAGGAGTAGTCTCGCCCACGCGTCCAGCCAGCCGGTTCCTTTATGGAGCCAGGAGGGCTTGCTTGATCGAGTGTTGTTGAGAGGAAAAGTCCGAGGTCCGTCGGCGGTTTGCCTAGCCCAATGAGTTGTCAACCCGTCGAGGGTCATAGGGGCTGGGGGCTGGCTCTCTTAGCCACGAATAACGCGGCATAGCCTCGAGAGTTTGCGAGGATATTGTGTTCGGGGTGACTGAAGTGCCTCTCAGAACAAGGCAGACATTGAAACGTCCCTGAACGCACATCTATCGCCAAGAGGGAACCCATCGGATCTCCTCCAGGGCAGTGCCGAACAACTCGGTCAGGGATGGTTGGGGGGATAACTGTTTTGACCGACGATGATTGTTTCATGGGGTTGTGCTCGAAGCCGACTTCGAACAGATATCTCTAGCTCCTCCTTTCCTTCTCCTACCTCCGGCAGTTCAGGCTTCATATCAACGCATCTCCTGTGTCTGGCTACTGGAGCAAACCTCTCCATCTCTCTGGATTCGGATTCGACTGTAGCGGATGGAGCGTTTGAACTGATCCGAGTGATCGTCTTGGCTCACTCAGGACGTCGTGCCTCCCTGACAATCGGGGGTGGTAACTGAAGTTTTGTAGGTTTCTTTTGGTGCCTACGCAGACTCGTGCTCCTGCTGTCTGCTTTTACACCGCTATCATATTGAAGCTTGTCTCTAGAGTATAGGGGATGCACTCTCAATAGCTCGACAAATGAAGACCAAGACATGCTTGAGAAGAGTAATGGAAAGAGATCGAACGTCGACCTGTCCACTAGCGGGTTAGATGGCAGGACCTTGGTGGTTGAAGTGAAGAGATGGTAAGGTAACTAGTACTACTGGCTACATTCCTTAGCAGATGTTTATTTTATCTCGTCTACTGCGTACGAAGGGCAGTCGGCAATCTCACAACATCACAAGTATCTTTAGTCTTCTGTTACAGGCTTCGCAGAGTTCATTGTAGATACACCGTCGAGGAACGAAGAGCCGTGGCAATCGGGGCCAATCTAGGTAGCTTGAAGTGACGTCTCACATCCTGGACGACGGCTGTTATCACTTGATCTCTATTAGTTCTCCTCTCTTTTCTCCAATACATCCTACTGAAACCTATCTGTGACCAATGCCATCCCAATCGTTTTTGACACCCCAAGTCAATCCCAACTACTCAACTAGCTGATCAGAGACCCCCTGGGCAAGAGCCCCCAGTGGCCGCCGCAGGAACACTTTCTCTGCTGCGCCAACACAAACGTGAAGCCCGGCCGCGAGCCAAAGACGTCCTCCATGACGGCCGAGCACCGCACGCAGCGCCTCCACTGCGCCGTCTTAACATCCTCGGCCTCCTTGCCGCCGCCGGTGCTGGCGCTGGCGCTGTTGCTACCACCGCCACCGCCGGCACGAGCAGAAGTAGGCGGCGGACCGACGAGCCTTACGCGCTTAAAGACGTCAATGAAGCGGCTCTTGGCCTTGCGCGCCGCCAGCGTCCGGCGATCGTCGTCCAACTCGAGCAGATCATAGTCTGCAAAGAAGAGCTTGGACGGATCGGCCAGGCCGCGGTAGGCCCTGAGATCCGTGTTGAAGAACTTGAGCAGCACGCCGAGGAAGGCGGGCGGGGGCGACGACGCGAGGAGCATGTTGAGCTCGCAGTGTACCTGGGCATACTTGATCTGCGTGTCGACGGCCTTTTGCCCGCCCACGCCGCCGCCGGGCGGGTTCTTGCTCGCGAGGGAGGTCTGGTAGGCGGTGCGGATGTCGTTGTTGAGGACGGTGAGGAGGCGGTCGAATTCCTGCACTTTGATGAGGCTGCTCGAGGTGACGCGCTGCATCTTCTGGTAGGCCTTGTAGAGGACGACGTGGAGGTCTTTGGCCTGCGACGACGGGTCCGTGGCGTTTTGCATGGCGGCGCGGCGCTCGTAGAACTCGATGGCGCGGTTCGAGAGGATCTCGAGGTGCAGGATGCGGCGGCAGACGGCGGAGAGGAAGCCGCGGGTGGAGGAGCACAGGAGGAGGTGGAGGGAGACGTCGGAGCGGGATTGCAGGTAGGCGCTCATCTCGGAGAAGCGCTGCGGGGTGAGGAGGGCGAGGAAGTGCGGGTCGTCGAGGAGGGCGAAGAGCGAGTCGGTGAGCCAGGCGAGCAGGTCGAGGGACCACTTTGCGCAGCCGGCGAGGGCGTCGACGACTTCGTGCTCGTCGAGCGGGCTGAGCTTTTCGCGGATGTTGACCGGAGTGTTGCTCGCGATCGTGATGAGTATAACGACGTTGCGGGCGTTGAGGGCCAGCATGGCGAATTTGCCGCCAAAGGTCCGGGGCTGGAACATGCCCTTGTATCCGAGGTGGTTGAGGATGCTGAGACACATTTGCAGCGAGCTGTTGCGTACGAGACTGTCGTGGTGGGTGTCTTCTGAGTAGTCTACGGGGACCTTGAGCATCCGCACGATCTCGTTGATCCAGTCAAATGTGAAGCCTGCAGAGGTTAGCGAGGGGCAGTAAATGACGACGGGAACAACGCACGCTTCTTGTCCGCAAAGGGTCGAGCGACGGCAAGGATGTCGTCGTAGTTGATGTTGTTGAAAGTCGCCGTTGACGCTGCTACAGTCAAAGCTGCCAAGGTGGCAGCATACGGCGCTACATGTTATTAGCCAAGGGCAGGAGAATCTGAGAGGGGTTGGGAGAAATACCATCTTGGTTGGAGTTTCCTATGTCTCCAAGAGGATGATGGAGTCTACTCCATTTGACCTTGCCATCGTCTTGAATCTTGACCACGGAACAGTTGGTAGGAGAGAAAGCCATTTGTAAACCTAGAGCATCTTGTGAGCTACATGCATCAGACCGCTTGCATTACTTGGACTTACATGGCGAATCATCCTGTAATGTGAACCCCACTTGGTTCAACGTCATGACTCTGTCGAGATTCATTTCGTTGTAGACTTCCTGTAGAGTATACCTATCGCGATATTCCACGGATCCATCACTGAAGGCCAAGCAGACGACGTTGCCGTACTGGATAGTATGAAGACCAACAACGGCCTTGTTGATGATTACGGGGTCGCACTTTTTGAGCCGACAGGTGGGCTTCAAAGACGTCAGAGCAGAATAGAGCTTATCGGGACCAAGTGACTTACAGCCGGAGCAGTTCCTGTACTGTTCCTGCGACTTCCAAGCTGTTCAAAGGCAGGATGGAGGCTCTGGGGCTGTTCGTTGGAAACCTCCCACTTATCGATGATACTCTGCGTTTCCTGATACGGGGTATTGGGTGTTGGCACGTAGGTACGAACTGCGAGGATGACAAGAGGAGCTCCCTGGCCATTTGGATCCATTACCGACGGTAAAATCTCTAGATTTGTCAGTTGAGTCGCTGCTGAGTCTACCGGTGTTGTGGATGGGCCGCTGGGTAACCAGCTAGAGATAGCAACGTGCTTCTCGTGCAAGGTAGGGTTGAGAGCTTGGCTACCCGGCGGCGGCTTGGTATCGGATTGAGATTGTGGTAGTCCCCAGTGGATGCCAACTTTCACTAGACGTAGTTGCTTGTTGGTGGTGGCCAAGGCAACCCATAGGTACCCTACTCCTGTGTTAGTTCAATCTCAAAACAAGGACAGGCTTTACTACTTGCCCTTGTCACTATGGAGTGCGGCATGTGTGATCAAGTCGTCCGATGAGTTGACGCTCTCGAGCTCAAGTGAGGTTTCTTCGATCTTGTTGTTGTTCTGGGCCCAAAACATCTTCAGATGTCCGTTTGTCGTCACACACAACAGAGCACTCTTGGACGGATTCGGGTGCCACGGGCCCCCGGCACGTACGAAGGAGCTCTCGTATTTGTACTGAGTCTTATCTTTTATAGCCGGTCCATGGCTCACCCAGTACTGATCAGTCAGCTAGGTGGAATCATCTTGAGGAGGGCTTCATGCTCACCTGTTTGCTTTGAGGAGCAAGGGGCAGCCAGTAACTTCCGACAATGGCGTGGAGGTCGTCAGAAGGGTCATGGTCCCATTTCCGTGTTGCAAAGGGTCGGTTCAGAGTGATGGAATACGTTAGGATAGCAACTCGACCAGTCGCGTCGATGACGGCTAGTTCAGGGCTCGCTGTTGATGCCCAGGCGAGGTGTATTATGGGGCTGGAAGGATTGATGCTGATGAGATCAACCTTTGTGGGCTCACTCAGACCCCAGTCGCCATTGTCGGGATGAGAACGTAGAAACCTGGCTTCCAGCGTCTTCCCATCTGGTGAAACGGAGGCTATTGCGCCGGACCTGGACCATGCCACTCCCCTACAAGAATTGTGAGATCTGGGATACATTGTGTATGATTGTGGAATGGTTCTCACTGGCAACAGCCGCGGGTCCGCAGCTCATCGATCCTTTGGCGCAGTTGTTTTGTTGGAGGGCGGGCCGTGTGAAGAGACAGGCCGCCGACGCCGTCGCCAAAGAGGTCGTCGACGTCGAGCTGGTCGACCTGCATGGCTCCATTCATGCCGTTTTCGAGCATAAGTGGCATCTTCTCTTCGTTCATGTGTGAGTGTTGGTTCCGAGATGTCGGACCTGCGCGCAAACAGCACTCAGGGCGTCAGCCACGGAGATAGGGCGAGGCTGGAGTGGTGGTTCAAGAGGGATCAAGAGGCAGGCAATAGCTCATCTTAAGAACCAGAGAGCAAAATTTGCCGTTACATGCAGTGGCTAACATGCGAGCCCTTCAGCAGGTTTTAAGAACTACAAATTGCCGTGGTGCTGCTGCCTTGATGACTTGGTGTAACGAAAAGTACTCTATGTGTGGCTGATAGGAGACTGGAGCAAAACGCATGTAGTTATCCGTAGGTTGATAGTTAATCGTTGTAAATGTAAGGTAAGGTAGGTGGACCGCGGCTCTTGAGGTGTGAATTGGGGCCAATGAAGTGCAGAGACGAAATCCACCAGGCCACACCTTGCCTCAGCCTCAAGTTCACCTCACGCACGCGCGAGAAGAGGTAAGAAGGAGTGGAGAAGCCTTCCCTAGTGCGCTAGTCCAAGTTAGGCCCATACAAACTTGCTCTACAGATAAGGCAGGAACCTTGGGAGTGAAACCGAAGCTTGTGGCTGGTGAGGTGTGGCTGGTAGACAGACCCCAAGTGCAGGTCGCACCCCAATGTTGAACGTTGTGGGGAAGTTGGAACCCGTGACGTCCGTCCAATGATCCCTGTCTGTGGTGTTAGGAGGGCCGGGCCCCTCTTCGATCGTGACAGGGGGTCAAAGGACAAGCGGACAGGGCAGAGGAGGTCAGTGTTCCCGGGCAACGGGCGTCCACCCCCGTCCGGCTCGTCCGCCCTGTGGGTGCAGATGCAGTGGTGTCGTGCTCTTGTCACTTTTTGGCCCCCCGCGACTCGGCCGCGTTTCAGCCGACCGCCTTGCACGCCGAACGTGTTGTGTCTCTACGGACGGTGGCCGCAATAGGATAAAAACACAAGAGCATTGTCCGCTCGAGTATGTGCCTACCGTAGGGCATTTTGCATCGGGGCACCAATCGGTGATAGAAGCTTGCTTCCATCTAAACTCAGCGGGCCTGTTGTCAAGAATGAATCTTCGTTCGTTTGCCTGGGTCTCGGACATCTGCAAAATGACGTCGGTTTCGCCAACTCTGTTCGCGAGGCGAAATGAGAAGTATTACCGGCCACTTACCCATTGTTCGTGGGAGTTAATATTCAATCATTGTAGCAAATAGCGCTGGGGTGCAAAACTTGCATCGCTGTCGCGGGTATATTCCGGCTACCTACACGTAGCTGTGAGTGGAATGAGGTATCTTGCGGTGCATCTGTGTGAGGCAGGCACGAGTAGTAGGTAGGGTGCTGCAGCTCACCGCTGGATCGACAGGCCACTTGTATCCGTCTAAGGTACCATAAGGTAGACAACCGCCGTAAGCTTATTCCAATCGAATCCCGCATATTGTCTCGAATGTTGGCGACAAACGACCAAAAACAATCAGAACAAGCAGAACAAGCAGTAGAATGGTGATTTACTGGAACAAGGCTTTGCGAAGCGTAGACTGAATTTGGTAGAGGTCAGTGGGTGAACATTGCCCGAGGAATACCTCTCCGAAAAAAGCTCTGTCTGCGGGATAAAACAACAAAGTAAGAGATACCAGCCGAGTCCAACAGCGGGGTTGACCGCCGTCATCCTCGTCATGCCCAAAGGACAAGAAAGGAGACGGGCGGGCAGGGGAGCATGGCGCTTCCTTTTGTGTTGTCTCCATCTAATATCGTCCCTTCGACTTTGTCATAATACACTACGGGTACTGACGCCAATGTCAGTATTTCAGAGGAAATTTCTCAAGGGCCCTTGAGTAGTACGGGTCAGCCAGAAACGAGGAAGATGCGCGAAGAGGAACAGAGGGCAAAAGATTGTATCATTTATGCTCCTCTTCAATTTTTGACCATCCGCATGACAAAGTGAGTGGAAGAAGAGGGGAACGAACAACAACACCGAGAGGGGGTGGAGGAGGCCGGAGGGAGGCCGGTGTGCATGGGCCACTTTCATGTAGCTCGAGGGCATATAAAGGCGTAAAGATACATGGAGTGGAGTAATTGTTAGGAGCAACAACTCTTCGGGATCAGGAGCAGGAGCAGAAGCAGCAGATACCAGACGGGAGCGAAATGCTCACCCAATTCCCGTCGACTTTTTGACCGGACCCAATGGGAAATTAAGCGACTCTTTGGAGACCGGAACCAAAACAGAAAGAAGCGCGTGCGCACCGAACCCAGACTTCTCCGGCAGCAAAGCACTAGCCACCGCACCGTTCCTTACACCTTCTGCCTCCCGTACCCGTGTGCCCGTCCATCTCCCTCTTTTTTTCGTGCCTTCTTCTCTTTCTCTTCCCCGTTTCGTCGGGCCTCTCACCTTCCCTTACCTTACCTACCTTACCTTAAGGTACCTTAGGTAATACCGTAATTAGATGCCAGCCCACCCGCCCGTACTTCGCACCCTTCTGCCGCGCCGGCCCTGACTGGATCCTCTGATCTGCTGCTACCGCTGTTCGGCCTTTTCCTGACCTGTGTTGACGGCACTTTAGGCCCAGCTCTGGTCCCGCCTCTCGCTTGACTGTGTTCCAAGTCACGTCCGCTCCCCTCCCTTCTCCCATTCCCCCCCGTGCCCCCTTCTCCCTCCGCGCCCCATCCATGTACGTTTGCTTGCAGCCGCTACGGCTATGTACTTGTTAAGGTACCCTCGCCCGTCCGCTCTCCACACTTTGCCTTTCTTCAACGACACTTCTTACTTTCCCGACAACAACGAAAACCCTTTCAACCCACTACCGGAGAAAGAAGCACACAATCCTGGAAATCATTGAACAATGGAGATGGTATAGAACACGCTGCCCATGTTCCCGCAAATCTTTTCCCTGGTTTTTTCTTCTTTCTCCCCTTCATCCCCGACCACCACCGACGACGACGACGACGACATCAAAATGGACGCAACCCCTTCCTCCTCAGCCATGGACGTCGACGCGCATCAACAGCCCTCGTCTCCCTCAGATTCGACTCTTTCTTCACCTCTTTCCGTACTGTCAAAATCACCCTCAATACCCTCATCGCCAGAAGTCGCTCTCGACGCGTCAAAACGATACCCGTCGCCCACCTCCTCAATGCCTTCAGGCGCTCAGTCACCAATCAAGCTCGAGGCGGCCGACGACTCCGTACCCGCCATCAAGCTTGACAACGCTGCCGACTCCATCAACGTCAACGCCAGCGAAGCTACTGATGGCCAGCCTCCCCGAAAGCGGCGCAAAGTCACGCCTCCCAAGGAGCGCACCACAGAGTACCTGAATCTGGACGAATGCAAAGAAGACGACAGAAACTTGGCGCGTCTAGTGTCCGCTCTCAAGAAACGGAAGAAGATTGTCGTCATCGCAGGCGCTGGAATTTCTGTTTCGGCCGGCATCCCCGACTTCCGATCCAAGACTGGACTCTTTGCGACACTGCCAAATGAGCACAAGGTCAAAGGCTCAGGCAAGCACCTGTTCGACGCCTCGGTCTACAAGCATGACTCCTCTACCGAAAAATTCCACAAGATGATTTGTGACCTGGCCACAATGGTCAAGGCCGCCAAGCCCACTGACTTCCACCACCTGTTAGCGTCGCTCGCCGCCGAAAACCGTCTCCTCCGCCTCTACAGCCAGAACGTCGACTGTATTGACACAAATATGGAGCCCTTGAAGACGAATGTCCCTCTCAACGTCAAGGGTCCTTGGCCCAAAACTATCCAGTTGCACGGAAGCGTTGACCACATGGTCTGCTCAAAATGCAGTGACATCAAGGCTATAGAAACAGAGCTTTTCGTGGGTCACGAGGCTCCACTGTGCAAAACCTGCGAGGACCTCGACATGGTCCGCACGCAGTATGGCCAGAGACGAAGTCACGGTATCGGCCGCCTGCGTCCCAGGATGGTGCTTTACAACGAGTTCAATCCGGACGAAGAAGCCATTGGTAAAGTGTCGAGTGTGGACCTGAAGTCGCGTCCTGACGCGGTCATTGTTGTTGGCACCAGTCTCAAAATTCCAGGCGTGCGGAGGCTCGTGAAGGAGCTGTGTCAGGTCACGCGTAGTCGCAGAGACGGATTTACTGCATGGATCAACACAGACTCGGAACCACAACACAACGACTTCAAAGACTGCTGGGACCTTGTCGTCCGCGGCAAGTGCGATGACGTGGCTCATTGGGCTGCACTGCCCCGTTTTGATGTGCCTCACAGCGACCAAACGGCCTACCTCAGCGAGGGAGAGGAGCAGAGGCGCCAGGACAGACTTAGCAGAGATAATCTCGAGGTGCAGCTCATTTCGCCTACGCCTGATTCACCGACTAAGTCTACTTCGAGCACTGCTTCGGATTCGAAGAAGCGGAAGCTCGTCGACCCGGTTCAGAGCATCCCAACACCCACAGCCAGCCCGAAGATTAAGGCTGTCGAGGCTGCGAAGAAGGGTATCAAGGCAAAGCAAAGCAAGCTTTCCTTTGGTGGCCAGCAAGCTGCTACTCCCGGAAGTGACGCAGCAGCCAAGAAAATCAAGAAGCCGTCCGCGAAGAAGCCCCGGAAGGACAATAAGAAGGCCACGATGCCTCCCAAGAACAGCGTTACACAGACGTTCAAGACGCAGAAGAACCGCGAACTCGCCGATATGCCCCAAGAAACCTTGGCTGGCAAATTGGACAACCAGCATTACCTGAAATATGTTGAAGACAAGCTTCAGTCTCAGCTTCCACCATTGCGACCGGCTCAGAAGCCTATACAGAGTTTCGTCTATAAGCGTGCCGAGAACACCGACGACGAGGGACAGAAGGAGGATGTTTCATCACCCGCACAACCTTTCGAAAAGATGTCAAGGCCGTCACTTTCGGAACGGCCAAAGTCCTCACCAAACTCCGGAGACAGCAGCGACGTACGCCCAATGACGCCTATGCATATCCGACGCAAGTCGGCCGACACGATATCCCCTGAGTCGATCCCCCGAGGCATGGAAGCCTTGATGGACTGAGGATAACCATGGAAGCGTTTGTCGATTACATGATCACTCGGCATCGACGCATTTTGTTATTTATATTCATAGAAGATGTCGCCCTGAAGGCACCGAAGAGTTCGGGCCAGACAGGTGACAGTCCACGGAGATTTGTCTTATCACAAACGGAGTTGGCATGGAATACGTCTCGCATCACTCATCCTGTACATACACAGTATCGGCCCATTTGTATAAAGCAGCGGCTACAGAGCCCAAAGGCTCTTTTACGCAAGCCGGCGATGTGGGCTCCACAAGCGAGGGCTTCATTTGGGCGGGCAGACGCCGAGAAAAGTCTGCACTCGACATGGACGAGATGAATAGTGAGATAGAGGCGGCCCCAAGTCCGCCATGGGACGAACATGATCGTTAATATACCACTTTGCGCACGCGATATGCCTAAATTCCTTTCTGCAGCAGGCTTTGTGACTACCTTTGCTTCTGAATGACATTGTTTGTTCGACTGTGCTAACTGACAGCCGTGCCCGCTAACCATAGTCGTGCCCTACCGTCCTGTCTACAGAGGTAGGCAATCAGTTGGCCCACGGACTACTTAAGAGGGAAAAGCTTTGGCATCACCTTTCAGGGAGCAGCACCGAGACTACAGGCGTCACCGAAAGTTCCACAGGTACCCGACAGATACTTTGATGGTAAACATCTTTATTCGAAAGGCAATGGATCCCTTTCAGTGCAATTTCCTTCTTGATATGCTAATGTTTGCTCTGTACAAGGTACAACCAGCTATAATATGGCAAGGTAGACAAAACGCATACAACACCCTCGAGCCTATGCTTCGGCCCACACAAATCAGGGTGCTCACTGCCTAAACCAAGGTGATTGCACACATGAAGGCTTTCTCTCTCATTGCGGTGCTGTCTGTTTACTTTTTTGGTATCTAATACGAGCATGGGAGCTCATCCGTCCATCCCATAGGCGCTGGATATATCGCTGGATATATCGGGCTAAGAGCTATATCTCATGCGACCGAGCGTCCCTAAGGTAGGTATGCATGACTGCCTGCCCGCCAGAACCGTGGGTACGTACAAAGCCCCCATCTTCAGCGAGTCCAGTATACCACGCCGCGACCAACAAGGCTATGCGTGCTCGCACCTGGACGAGGCCAACGTCATGTGACCAGCCCAGGGCCAGCCAGCAAGGCTCACTCGCCGCCTCCATGAACACAGCAACCAGAATAGGGCCCGGCTAAAAACTCAAAACGCATGAGGTGAGACATGATGATGTTTTCGCAAAACTCCAAAAAAACGAGTCCGTCCTGTACCATGCAAGTCCGGGTATGTAGTTTATCTTATCATTCCCTCAACCACAATGAAACATGCCTTGCCCACCTAGTACCGAAAACGCCATGCCGATGCTGAAATTAAACACGAATCGTGACTGGATATGCGCAAATAGAAAACCGTCTCCCAATCCGTGCTTTTATGAATGCGAATCCTAAGAAGCCGCTGCAGTGCCATTCGCCGCCGCGGCCGCCGGTTTGTCTCCGTTGTGCTTCTTCACTTCTCTGTCCCGCAGGACTCTATACATGGCGCTCAGCCGATCGCCCGTTACTTCGTTGCTGGTGCTGTCAACTGGCCACAGGTTCGCCAAGAATTCCCTGCATGTATGTTAGATCTGTATGAGACGTAAAGTAGCTGGCGGGACAAACTTACCAGAAGCGATTCTTGAGCGCATTGTCTCGCTCCTGGACGAATTCGCGATCCAAGAAGTTGCCAATGACAACCAACTCCTCTCCAAATATCTTAGCGCGTTCCTTGCTAGACTTGATCCTCTCTTTTGTCGTGACAAGAATCGCCTCAAAGTTTGCTCGAACCGGTTTGAGCAAGTACCACAGCATGGCATCCGCGTCTTTCTCGCGTTCCTCTTTGTTATCGCCCATCTTGCGGAGTTGATCGAGTCGGTGAAGGGCTTGGTTGCGACGCTCGTTGTCTGGCTGATTTGCTCGCGGTGTGTTGCTCGACCTGCGTCGGTCATCGCCATGTCGATGGTCCTCGGCGCGACGATGTTTGCTACTGCGCTCAGCCTCATCGCGATGCCTTGGTCTGTCAGCTCGAGGAGACTGTTGTTCATCGCCATTACTCTTAGTCCGCCGAGCTTCGTCTGTTCTCCGGTGCTTCGGGATACGGCCTTCTTCATGGCCTGAATGCTTCCTCTTGGAGTCAGGTCGCGGCGTGCCCTTCTCATCAGCGTTGCTACGGCTGCGGTGATGATCAGCGTGGCTGCGTTCTCTGTCCCGATGTGAGCCGCTCTTTTTGAGGGCCGACGGCGCAGGAGACGCCGCGCCACTGCCTACGTCGCTGCGACGGTGTCCATTCGCCAATCGCTTGTTATTGCGATGGTGATTTTCGACAGTTCTGTGAGCCAATGGGTCACTGGAATGCTTGGCCGCAAGCACAGAAAGTAGGTATTCTGAACGACGGACGAGATGTACGGCGCCTGGCGAGTTGACCCCTTTCTCGGTCGCCTTGTTCCGTTCTTCCTTCTTCTCGATGCGATGTTCCTCGAGGAAGAATTTGTCCGACATGTCCAGCGTGGCATCGTCCCGGATTTGAGTCCAAGCCCCGAAGCCATACTTGTCGATGCCAACCAGAAGCATGCCATCTTCTCGAGCGCCCCACTCACATGAGTAGTGGGCGGCCTTGGTCGCATCGGCGAGTCGAAATGTCTTGAAGTCATCGTTCTTCCGAATGGTTTGCCTCAACAGGCGAAGCTGTTGCGGACGCTCGACCGCAGTCTCAGCGTTCATCTTCCTGACCTCACCGAAATCAACTAAGACAGCCTTCTTATCCTTCTTTGTGAGAGACTTGCCAAGTTTCCGCTCGTCGTCCATCAGACGTGTGTTGTTATCGTTGAGCGCATCTTCGCATCTCTTGACAAAGTCGTCCAGAATTGACTTGAGGAAATCGCGATCGCGCTCTGCGAGGCGTGCTTCCTGCACAATCTCTTCGCCGCGGTCATCCATGGAGCCGTATCTGAAGAAAGCCTTGAGAAGATTTCGCGTCTCCTTCTCGTTGAGTGGGCGCTTGGGATCAGACAGCAGGGCACGTTGCTCCTCGGCCTCTTGGCGTTGTTGTTCCTCTCTTTGCCGTTTCTTCGCAAGACGATCGGACCTGTCCGTCTCATTTCGATTCTTCATTGTCGCTCTCCGTGGAGCGCTCTCAGCAGCAACCTTCGCCACGTACTCCTCGTTCTTCCGTTGCTCCTCATCAGCCTTAATAACGGCAAGCTCTTCGGTGGGGATAATTTGATCCCAGTCAAGGGCCAAGTCATCCACCTTCACGTCGGTGTATTGCATGAAGTTGTCCCAGTCAATACCACCACTGCTGAGATTCATCTTGTCATCCACCTTCGTCTTCGTGATTTCGGCGTTCTCCAAGATGGAATCGATGTCAAGCTGCTCAAGACGCTCTTGATTGCCGCTTTGTTCGAACATCTTCTGCGAGCGCATCTTGAGAATGAGCTGGATGTCTTCGGCGGAGTTGGGCCCTTCGATCTTTAGACCCTTCTTATTCATTTCGTCACGGAAAGCCTTGCCATCGTCGGTTACGCCGGCTTGGATAGTCAGGTACTCAAGCAAGAGCTTATTGCGAGCGCGCTCGAGCACTTCTTCTTCGACGGTCTCCTTTGACACCAAGCGGTAGATGCTAACGGGCTTCTTCTGACCGATTCGGTGCGCACGTCCCATAGCCTGCAAATCAGCCTGGGGATTCCAGTCGGAGTCGAAGATGACTACAGTGTCGGCCGTCATCAAGTTGATGCCCAAACCACCTGCTCGGGTGGAGAGTAGGAAGCAGAAGTCGTCGCTATCTTCCGCATTGAAGTGATTGATGGCCATGCGTCGGGGCCCGGCGGCGATGGTGCCATCGAGACGTTGAAACTTGTAGCCTCGGAGTGCCATATAATCGCTAAGAATGTCGAGCATCTTGACCATCTGACTGAAGACGAGTACTCTGTGTCCATCCTTTTTCAGCTTTGTCAAGAGCTGGTCGAGAAGCATCATTTTTCCACTGCTGGCGATAAGACCCTTGATCTGGTCTTCTCGACGGGTGCTGCCGGCAAGAACTCTCTCTTCGGCACCCGCAAACATGTACGGGTGGTTGCTGACTTTCTTCAACTCCATCATGATGTTCAACAATGAGTTCTTCTGGCCGGTTGCGCTAGACAACGCGGCATAATTCCTCGTAAGAATGTTCTTGTAGTAATCCAGCTGAACATCAGAGAGCTCAACACGAATAATCTTCTCTGTCTTTGGCGGGAGATCTGACTCGACTGTCTCTTTTGTGCGTCGCAAAATATAAGGGGCGATAGACTTGTGGAGGTCCTGGAGCTTCTCTTGCGTATCATTGCCCGCAAGATCTTCCAGCGCCTCGTCAATCACAACTTTACCAGGGTTGAGGAAGTCCATCAGTGCGGACAGCTCGGCTAGGTTGTTCTGGATAGGGGTGCCGGTAATCAAGATCTTGCAAGGCACGCCGAAGCTCACCAGTCTCGCGTACAATTGAGACTCCTTGTTCTTCAAACGATGTGCCTCGTCCACGAGGAGTGCTTGCCACTTGATCTGCTGAAGAAATTGCCAGTCTTGGAGAATCATCTCATACGAAGTAATGAGGGCGTTGAACTTTGGCTTCTTGGGGTTGCCGTTGATCATGAGCTCGTTGTCACGAATAGTGCTGCGAGAGGCTTCGTTGCCGAGATACACAACGTAATTCATGTCGGGGGACCAGTTGTCGAAGGTATCGCCCCATGCTGGGATGACACTCAGAGGCGCAACAATGAGGAAAGGCCCCTCTTGCTCGCGTTCGTTGCGAAGCCAGCTGAGGAATGACACGCTCTGAACGGTTTTTCCAAGACCCATTTCATCAGCAAGAATGACGTTGTTGGCGCGAGTCCAGTTGAGACACAAAAAGTTCAGCCCTCGAAGTTGAAATGAGCGCAGTTCGCCATTTTGGATGAAGTCGGGTTGCGATTCAAGCTTGATCATTCTTGTTCGAGTATCCGGGTTTGACTCTTTCCGATCAGAGACCCACGAACGAGACGATCGATCCAAGAATTGATCAATCTTGTCTTGAAAGTCCGCACTGATGGCAGACGCAACTTCCCACGTGCACTCGTCGTAGTAGCACCCTTTCCACTTGACAAGGTATTCTGTTTCATCATCACCGTCTCGAACAGCGACAACTCTGTCCACCTTCGTGTAGTCTTCCAGGGCTTCTTCGGCACGTTCACGATCGAGGAAGAACTGCTCCTTGGTTTCCGGCGGGATGTCTTCACCATACCGAATCAGGAGCTCGTGTTCCACGATGGTTCTGAAGTAGTTCTCAACTCTACGATAGCCTCGCATGTTGCGTAGGGCCTCTGCTGTTTCCCAGGTGTCGT